ATGCCTTCGGCTCTAATGTCGCTGTAGGCTATATGGCTTCGCTTTTGGACTATCATAAGGCCCCTGTGGAGGTGCAGTTAGGCCTGGACGCCGCGATGAAGACCGAGTGGCAGAAGTACACCGAGTTCAATGCGGTGGTTCCTTGCACAGACAAGGAGTTCAAAGAGCTTACAAAAGCCGGCCACGTGTGTATCCCCACCAAATGGGTTCTTACCGATAAGAACGAGCACCTAAAGGGACAGCAGCGTACACTCCCAAGTGGAAAGCACGCTTGGTCGCATGTGGAAACTTCGAGCATATCTCGAATGAGGAAGACATCAGGGCAGACAGCCCCACGGCTGAACCAGAAGGCATAGCCCTTATCTGTTCATGTGCGGTTTCGTTGGCCCTGCGGCTCAAAGCAGCCGATATCACGAATGCATATTTCCAAGGGAAACCCCTTGAGCGTCTTCTCATTCTTCGGGTTCCCAAACACCCCAAGGGTGTGCCCGATGCAGAGATACAGAAAGCCGGGTATATGATTGCCCGAGTCCCCGTATACGGCACCACCGACGCGGGGCGGAACCTTTACCTCCGTATAAAGGAGAGTTGTAGGGAATTTGGCTTAAATGCCTCTCAAATTCTGTCAGCCCTGTATTTCATTACAGGAGAGAATAATCGTTTGTGTGCTTGCTTGTGCACCCACGTGGATGATTTCCTGTGGGCTGCTACAGCCGAAGGCGAGCCAGCTATCCAGAATCTGCTGGATAAGTTTAAGATCGGTCGCATAGAGACTGAGAAGTTCCGCTTCTGCGGACGCGAGTATGTGCAAAGCGCCGATGGGACTATCAGTATAAACTGTAGGGACAACACGCGTGCAATCCGCCCGATCGATATTCATAAATCGGAAAAGGGCTCGACTCCAGTTTCGAATGGCCAGCGCACAGCGCTGAGGTCCGTCATAGGCTCATTAGCCTGGGTGGCTCGCGCCACGAGACCTGACCTTGCCTATAGAGTGAACGCCTTACAGCAACGTGTTACGACAGCCACGGTGGATACGCTCCGTGAAGCAAACCGCGTAGTGGCGCTTGCGTTGGGAGATGCGGATAGGGCAATCACGTACAGCGCAAAGTTACCCTGGAGCACAGGGGAATTGGCAGTTGTTACGTTTTGCGATGCCTCTTTCGCAGGAGAAGCGAACCACAAGTCGCAACGAGGACGCTTTCACTACCTCACTTCCGCACAGTCGGCAGGGGACAAGAGTGCACCAGTGCATGAGATGCACCTCATTTCGTTTTCCTCATCCACCATGAAACGGGTTTGTCGTGCCACACTGCAGTGTGAGGCTTACTCGTTACAGCATGCCATAGAGCATGGAGACCGCATACGTGCGGCCGTGCTCGAAGTGCTTGGCAAGCTGCCCCGGTCACAGAACTGGGAAGAAGTCGCAAAGAGATCGATGTTCCACTTGCAGTATACGGACTGTAGGTCCCTTTCGGACCACTTGACAGCATCGATTCCAAAGTCATGCGAGGACAAACGCCTCGCCATAGAAATGACTGGGCTGCGCCAAGGGCTCTGGGAAGAGGATGAGCTAACGCATGTCCTGTACCATCCCTGCGGCGACGAGTTGAGGTGGATACCCACGCATTTGCAACTCGCGGACTGCCTCACCAAAAGTATGAAGCCGCTTCTGATCAATCAAAGTATTGATCGCAACCTTGTACAGGTACTTGATGTGCCCGCGCCAGCCGCACAGAATACGGAAAGTACCGAAAGCACTCCGCTTGATCACTGAAGAACTCAGCCTTGAGCCTTGAGTCGCCGCACTCGGCTCGGTTGACCGTGCAAGCTCCCGGTATAATCCGGCGAAGTAGGATTGGTCCAAAGCGACCAAATTCGAGCATGATTCGGACGTCACACTATAGATAAGACGGGTGTGAAATTTCCCTGTCTTGCAGTGCCGTGTTGACAGTCCTCATGCGAGCGTAGTTTTTCATGTCTAGTCTGAACGCTTCTTTACTTGAAGACGTCTTGGGCTCGAATCGAAAATAGGCTTTGCTTGTGTGGTTGGACACTCTCGAACCAAGTTCCTGCTTCAAACCGGTACATCAACATACAGAAGTTCAGCTGTCATGAAGCTTTGTGAAGCCCCACGTGCCTCGGCCTTGCTGACTAAGCGAATGACAGGCACCGAAACGGGTTAGGGCTTGCTGTGGGATGGAAGGACACGATTCTGAGCATCTCCCTGTCAACTAGTGGATCTACGCTTGCATGCTGCTTTCGAAGCAGGGGCCCTGGCACGATGGAGTGGGTTACAGGTCTTAAGAGGACTGGAGATAGGATGGGGTAAGACACTGCTGCTGGCCGCTTGAATCACTACGTTCAACAAGCACAGGCGACTGTTAATGACTACCGAGCTGCATGAGAGCCAGCTTGCAAAACGGGGGGGAAACACGGTGGCGATGCCAAAGAGGATGAATGATGTGTGCTACGTTCCGGTAGCCCCGAACTGCCCCAAAGCAGTCGCAGACATGAGAATGGTCCCAGTCTTCATTGCATACAGGGCACCGCCCGAATCGCCAGCGCTCTTGAGGTCATGTCGCGTTGTATCCGCTGGAGGAGTGTGAGGCAGAGGTGGGCCCCGCTCTGCCTTGTTGTCGTCTGAACCCTTGGAACCGCAATAGGCTGAGGGCTGAGGGAATGAACCTTAGCCTCAGCCTCCGGCTCCGGATCTAGCTTCGAACTCCGAATCTCTCAGCATCCCAGTGTCTTTTCATTCAGAACTCGACTAATTATCCCGCCATGGAGTTCACATGATTCGGGCCAGAGTTTTGCAGGAGGAGGTCCTTTTCGGAGTAGAAGCCTCTCCTGTGACACTACTAGGAGGTCCCATATGACACTAGCACTTGTTACAGGAGGAGGCCCCTTACGACCCTAGTAGCTCTTGCTTCCACGAGGTGACCCACGGAAAGCACGCGATCCAGGCTGCCCTTTGAAGCCTTCGCGATTCTTTTGTGGTGAGATTTGCCTTCGTTTGAAATACGTCAAGGCTGGCAGGACTCCGGGTTGGAGCTTGCCGAGTTGTAGCCGTAGCCCCCAGCTAGTAGAGCGGTGACTCGGAACATCTAAGAACCATTAACTGCTGCGTGTGTCCATCGTCAACAAATCTAAATCTAAAAGCTGCCTGGCCACCCCGCAATTGCAGTAATGTCAATCCTACGACTTCGCCGAGCTACTCAAAACTGAACTCTGCTTCAGCAGAAGTGAAGCGGTTACAGCTTGGTGAGCTCCGGCTGGTTTTGCTTGAAGGGGCAGCAGTTCTATCCAGGGATGAAGGCAGAGCGAGGTCTGTGCTTCCACAGGTGCCTTCTGACAAGGAGAAGGTCAAGTCGCGGGGGACTACGGCCAATTTAGGCGCCACGACGGAGTCTTCCGCCGACAGCATCACAAAGGATGTCACGACAGCTTAGTTGAGAGACATAAAGGACCATGCCAGTTGCCAGGAAGAAAGCCAAGATCAGCTAGCTGTGCACAGCTGCAACCTGTGTCGTGGGAGGTGAGGTCCTTGATTCAAGTGGATCATTGACCCATTCGATCAAGCTTACTTACCCGGGGGAGGCGCCAACGACTGCTGGGTTACAAGTTTCCAGATGTGGGCTGCGGGACGTTGTCATTTTGGTATTGGGGTCAATCGGGAACTCTGCAGGGTGGAGGACGCAGGTTGCAGAGCTTTGTCAATCGAGTCTCTTCCTGACCGGTGTGATATGCGGGACGGTCGATTGAGAACCTGAGCGGTGCGATCTATGAACATCGAGAACACAGTAATTATCAGCCGTCAGAACGACAGAAGCTCTTATGCCAACGACTAGGACTTCGCGACTCCTTGAGCGCTCAATGCAGGTGTCCACGGATGACTCGGAGCTCAGAGCCCGCGCCCAATGTTGAGCCAGGGGAGAATGGCCTTAAGTTCTGGCTAGGTGTGGTCATGCCTCGGGCTGGCAACGGCTGTTCAAACCAAAGGCTCGAGCAAGAAATAAAGAAAAAGCCGAGGCCCACCATGTGCGGAAGCTGAACTCTGTGGGATCCTGCGGCAAGCTGAACAAGAGTGCGGGCTTCAGCTGAGTATTAGTCGAGGTGCAGAGCCTTGAGCCCGCAATTTTCCGATGTGTGAGAACTTCTCGCCAAGCCACTTGCAACACTGAGTCATATGCCTGACGATGCCGAAAGTTCGAACCCTACCAGGTCAGACGACAGAGTCCGGTATGGACGAGGAGACGGCGCCCCCAAGCTGGTGTTGAGAAGTCCGGAACACTGTCAGGAACCGGCCAGGAAGTGTGGGTTGTCAAGGCTCGTGATGGTTTCGTTGTCCTTCGACTATCCGCAGCATTTTGCAAAACGGCGGGCCCGGGCGCGCATAGATCTTGGCTTGTCCCAAACTGAGCTGCCGATGGCGCCCATGGCTGAGAAGGAGGCAGTGAACCTCGGATGCCGCATGTGCTTTCTTGTGTCGCTTTGTGTGCGCGGCTGACATGGAACTGCGAGTATCAAAGGCTTTGGCTATGTGATGCTACGTGCAATGCTGTATGTTAACATATCGGCGATGTCCCTTGCGCGGTTGTTCCGAACGCAGTGCTTTCCAGTAGCTGGCCGAACTTCTACCGTTTGTCCACATCTGTCTCTTTGTCCCTCTCCCTCTTCCTGTCTCTCTGTGTCTTTCAGCCAGCCTTGCCTCAGACTTAGTAACATCACTCTCTGCCAAAGTGCACGACAGCTTCTTTAGTCGATTCGATCTGGCAACGACACAGGAGTAAGTGCTGAGTGATCTTGACGTGCACTGTATTGGCCTCTCGACCCGAGACATGAACTGGCGTGCTCAGCGTGGTACGCGGACTCAAGTCGTCAGTGCGATGATGCACGGAATGTGCGAACATAGAACCTGCACATTGATCCTTCCTCCCCATCTGTAGCAGTGAACTCCAAAGCGGAAGCCGCAACCGGATTCGGGCCGGGCACTGCAGGTGGACGAGATCCTTTCTCGCGCTGGGATTTCCAGCGATCTTCGCCAAAAGCAAGGACCTGGTTCGATGTTCGCGGTGCCGTGCACAAACAAGTGAGCAGTGAGTTGCCTTGTTGTCCGTGCAGGAAGGGGGGGCTGCTTGACGGTCCTCGCAGTGGCTATCTTCTCCTCCTTGTCGGGGTGCCCTGGCGGAGCCCAGTCTCCTTGTCGTGGTCCTTGTGACTCCTCCTTCTCCTGCTGCGGCTCCTCTTCTTTCTGTGCTTGTTGACCAGGTTGCTCATGGGCCTGGACATTGGCTACATGGCCGGTGTGAAGTCGATGGAGAGCTTCTCCGAAGACGTTTTGAACGGAAATCCTATGACTGGGATGCAGGACAGCCATGCCGGGTAAGGATGTGCCTGCAGGGCGGTTTTCACAATTGCAAGGCCCTGTGCTCAAGGAGGAACAAGGTGCCCTGCAGCCCCGCAGATACGATGTAGCTCTCGTCATTAAGCGGCTCCTCATGCAATTTCGCCGCGATATGAAAGCCAGGACAGTCTCATCACAATGCTCCTCAGCTACATCTGGCGAAACGCTGCCCCAGACTGGAGATGGCAGTGTCCTACCTCGTCAAAAGCAGCTTTCGACGACGAAGCTGAGGATCTTCGGAGCTGGGGCGGCTGTTGCCTGCTTCCCGCCCATCATGGACTTCCTGGCAGGGAAGTTGGGCCGAAAAGGCCGCTGCTGGGCAACGCTGCTTGTGCTGCGTGTGCTTCATGTGGAACCTTCAAGAAAGCGTGGTGTGCAGGCACGCTGATCGCCGGCGGGAGCCTGTTCTGCCTTGGATCTGCCGTCGCTTCGTCTCGACACATGACTCCGTAGGGTCGCTGATGTCCCGCTGGGCTTCAGCCAAGACCTCGTTTCTCAGGTCCAGACTGTGGCCTGCGACATCTGGACCGAAGAGCTTGCGGGTTTGTGGCTTGCCAGCTGGGGCCAGTTCTGCACGGCTGCTCGGTGCATCCATCGTTGCTCGCAGGACGATGGCTGCTGGCCGCTTCCTGGCGGGCCTCTCTGTGGGATTGCTGTCAGGCCACTTCCAGCTTTGATTTACCACACACCTCCTGGACTTCAGGATAGTTGTTGGAAGTTCTATCTTCCTGTGGATGTGCGGTTTGAAACCGAATTGTCTCCTGCACGCCGCACCCCGACCTCCCAGACAGAGAAGTCCCTCGCTCGACGAGCTACCAAGCCCTCTTCTTTTGCAGGCAATGCGCCCATCTACACCAGCGAAATTTCGCCTCCCGCAATGCGCGGGCGTCTCGTGGCTGGCCCCCTGGCTCAGCGCTGCTTCACTTCGAAGCCTGAAGTCTTGACCGCAGCAGGCCGGTTCCCAAGTTGCTCGCAGGCTTCCAGTTCGCCGTGACGGTTGGGATCATGGTAGCGTTTCTGCTGGCTCTGGCCTTCGAGGACTCGAAGACTTTTGAAAGCTGCTTGTCTGTTCACCTTTGCGCAGAGCTGATCCGACGCCACTATGTAGGATGTGGTGGAGCCATTTAGTGGCTGGCGCTGGCTCATTGGCGTGCAAGTCATCCCAGGAGCCATTTGCTCATAAGCATCGCCAAGAGTCTCTTTTACTCCGGGCTATCGTTGAGTTCTGCGGCAGAAGTGAGCAGCGACACGAAGACAAGCCGAGGAAGCCCCTGAGAGGCCAATAAACTTCCCGCATTTCGACGATTCAGAGACGCCCAAGCATGTCCAGCCTAGCCAGATTGTTTCAGCCACCAGCTCAAGTGCGCAGCCTAAAACAATGTGAAAGGGCATGCTTCTTCCTTTCAACATCTGTACAACACTGTTACAACACGCTTACGACCTGCACTTGTCACTTAGTCACTTCTTCCTCTTCTACTTCGCAGCACTCCTACTAGCGGATGCCTCTGACATCTCGCTCCGGCACAATGGTGCATTACGCTGTGAAGTGGTTCAGAGAGAGGATTTACCTTGATTCCAGGAGCGCTCCTCATACTTGGTGGCGTCATTCTCCCTGGATCGCCCAGGACCGATGCTGGGCAGCGATGCATTGTCACCTCGAATTCCATCCTTGTCCATGCGCTTCTCAGGTACTTGGTATCTCGTGGAAAGAACACAGAAGCCTTCAATGCCTTGCTCCGCCTCCGCAGCAAGGACGCATCAGGGAATCAGGGCTGAGGCTGAGCGGGATGGAGAACGCGCGGTCCACGGTGGTTGTGACGCTGTGAGACAGGAGCAGGATGTGCAAGCTGAGTTTGCGGAGATCGTGTTGGAGCAAGAGGACGAGGGAGAGATGAGCAGACGCCTCTAAAGCAGTCTCTTGAGACTCTGGAGAGGACGAAGAAGCCAACGGACAGGCCACCTGGAAGGAGTTCTTGTCAGGAGAGCAGGGTCTGCATGTACCAATCGCAGCTGATCGAAGTCCGAAGTACGAACACCCTGAGGAGAAGGTTTCAAGTGACATTCTGGAAAGTTCTGGTATGGTGAAGTTTGGTACAAAGTTTGCAAAAGCCGGCATCCAGTTTGGCCACCATCCTAGCAGCCTAGAAGACATGTCATCTCGCTACCAGCGCTCGCATGCCTGATCTTCTCCGGCTGATGAGAGGGCTGCAACGCGCATAACTCACCCAGAAAGCTTCCAAACCAGGCTTTCTCAACCCTAAGCTTCATGATGCAAAGGGGCGGGGCCTGATGCAAATTTCGCTCGGGGGATCGCAGGAGACAATGCGAAGCTCCTGGGAATCGGACTGGCGATTCAACTGCTCGGCCAGCTGGCTGGCATGACGCTCGTTTGGCATCTAGGAAATATGCTTGAATCTCAGCACGTCGTGCTTCTGCAAGGACTGTAGGGCATGGAGAAACTCGGTACTGGTATGTAGATGTCGGAACTGCGTGAAGTTCTTCAGGTTTGATGTACATTAAATCCAAACGAGACAAGCTGGGTGAAGCGAAGAGCAGCTGAGACGTAACTCGTCGTGGTACATCTGCATGTTTCTAGATCGCAGAAGCAGCCACCGGAAGTTGGAAGAGTCAGGAATGCCTTCATGTACGACGGGCCCCTGATCTTCGAGAGGCTCTCGGAGTATAGCTGGGGAGCAACGAGTTAGGCTTCGACGCAACAGTTTTACACGGACGGCGCAGCTACAGAATTACAGAGCATTCCACCAGAAGCTCAGCCAGAGCATCCAGAGCTAGCTGCATTGGTGCTTCCATGTCTTAGGGTCGGGCTCTTCCACATGCCACAGTGGGTTGACATTTAGGGAACCTGGGTGTAGGGCCGCCTGCGATGCTTTTTGGTTTGTCGTTCCAGGCTATTCGACAGCCCTCATGCCGGGCGACTCTTCACCGCAATTGCGGGTGCAGTGAGCTTTGGCCGCATGAAGCTCTAGTTGCGAGCAACGCGGACGATGGGGGTCAGTTGGTCTGATCAGGAACATTGTCGCCACGATTCCGGCCATCCTTCTGGTAGATAAATTCGGCCGAACCTCTTTGATGATGCCTGGCCGCATCCAGCCATGGCCAGCCTCTTCTTCCGTGAGACTGACAGCAGATCCGCAAAGCTCAGGAAGTGGTCTGCCATAGGCGGGAACCTGCCTTGAGAAGACGTATCAGACTGTCAGGGATTTCCGGAGAGCTCAGCTTCAAACATTCGGCGGGTCGGTCCAAGAAGGGCCATGAGGTTGGCTTTAGGCAGTCGTCCGGATCAGTCATCTAAATTCTACTATTGGAGTGGGCATGCTGCTTCAGAAGCCCCCTGACTAGCTTGTTGAGACTCTTCTAGCAGCTTCTGGCACAAAGGCAGTGCCGGATGGTGCGTTACAGACTTCATGCCTGCATCGGTTGGCCAAGTCATATTGGCAAGCCTCCCCGTTTACCTCGGCTCGTGGGCAGACCCTATAGCTTGCCTTAGTTGTTAAGCATCTTCGTGTGCCAGCTAGCAACTAGCAGATGAACATTGGACTTGCTGACCGGGAGCAGATAAGAGCAGTGCAGTATCGCAGGGTATCGTCGGGTTCGGTCGAGAGGATCTGATCCGATCGACAGCAACTTACATTTCATTCTATGTCTCGATGCATCCTGACTGGTTGCCTTAGTCATTTTGACTCACCTTACCTGACCCTGTCTCGGATGAAAATCCAGGTATCCTGCCCGACCTCGCTCGTAAGTTTAGCCCAGGCTGCAGCATAAAGTGGCGTTCCCTCTTGGCGGCCTCCAGCTGTTAACTGCTAGCCCACTGCAGGCATGTGCCTTTGCTCGGGTATTCTCGCCACAGTGGGCGATATTTGCCTCACGAAGGACAGCGGGACATTGTTCCAAATACTTGCATGGGATTCTGCAAAATGTACATATAAGGCACAGGAGCTTTTAGGGCACGGTTCAGGCGATCTGGTCAAATTTCTTCTTCGCAAGCCTTCGGTTCTTGGCAATCGATGGTGACTAGCCATTTCCAAGGTGCAAATCGAGTAGCTCAGCACTCCAAACTCGCCAGCAGTCTCCTGCAGTGATGGCCGAACACCCGTATCGGAGAAGCCTTTGTCAACGGTAGATGCACCGGGCAGGCCTAAATGCAACAATTCGCACATCAGGTAAGTTTACGGTAAATTACACATCAGAGCTTACTACATGTAGTGCTGTCCTGGCGAAGCCCCGAACAGACCTGGAACACGGAAATACTTTTCATGCCAACAGATTCTGCACACTGGTGATGCGTGTCAGGAATCGAGGGACGCATTTTCCACTTCGCCACAGGAGGACAGCCTAACATGCGGACCGTGGTCGCAGTGGATAGCCACCCTGGCAATTTGCGGCTTCATCCTGTGTCTTGGATAAGTTGAAGATTTGTCGGTGGTTCCCTGACTAACAGAAGCTGTTAGGCAGTGTTCCAGCCTGATGTCCCCCATTGCCGATCGAACTCTCTTCGCAGCTGCGACAGCCGTATTTCAGAGCACTACATAAGTAAGAGGGCAATCAGAGAGTCTACAGCTAGTTCCACCTCTCAGTGTACTCGAAAAGATTCTGGCTTCCGGCGTCGGAGTCCAAGGAACTATGCCTACGGCTGGGGTGGCATGCCTTGGATCTACTGTGCGGACCCTTCGAAGCATGGAAGACGGGGCTGTTCGAGTCCTGCCTTGTTGCATTGTCCTATATTGTGTGCCGGCCTGCGCAAGTTCAAGTGAGAGACTTCCCCCAGCTCTAAAACCGAAATCTTGAGATTCGGACCATTCAGCAAGACAGATCATCATGGTGCGAGGCCGAGACAAGACAGGCCGTTATCCAGATCAGTTTGGGATGTTATTCAATCATGCAAGACTTGTGACTAAACCCAGCTTGCCTGCCCTCTTTGCGAGCATCTGTCATTCAACGTATGGGCTGTCCACCAAACCTTAGCTGGTTCACTACGAGAGCAAGTGCTTTTGGTCGCTTGTGTTGACGGGACAAGGTGGGTGCTTTTGCAGACATGAGCAGGTAGCAGATTTTGTCAGGCAGCAGCCGGGGTCGAATAAGATTGTCAGGTGGAAGCCGGCTCTTTCTGCTCTCTTGTAGAACCGGAACAGCAAGCAAGCCGTCTTGATCACACCTCCTCTAAGGAGATGTTTCCGCTGAGCCATCGCACCAAGGGAGTCGCAGCCACCACGGACACTCGGGCAGCAGAGCGAGAAATCTCTCTGAAATTGAGAAGCTCAGGATGGCCGGCAACCTCTAAAGCTATAACGAAGGAGGCAGGTGTGTTTGTTTCTTTGTGCCGGTGATCTCAGGACGCTAACTGGATTGGGAACATGCTCATTGCCTTCCTGACACCCATCCTCCTCGAGAGCTGGAACTTCAACTTCTTCTGGGTGCTGGACACTGGGCTCCAAGCATGAGTCTGTCTGTGTAAACCATTGTGCAGTAGTCGGACGGAGGAGGGGTGGGTGCACGCGCGCGCGTGTGGGTGTGTTTGTGTGCGTGCATGTTGTGCGGGGATGGTCGCATCTACGAACTGCACCTGCGTATTTCGCGAAAGCAGCCTTGGAGTGGATTTCAAAGATGCTGGGCCCCGGTGCAGGTTGCCACAAACCTTTTCGGAGTCTACTGCGCCATGTCCGTGCCGGAGACGAAAAACAAGAGCCTTGAGGAGAATCGGCTAAAAAGGGTTTGCCGGAAGGAAGGTTCAATCGCGGGACGGTCAGCCATTGGGTGTGTTTGCGTCTCCAGCTGTTGTAGCAGGAGATCAACGTCATGTTTCGTGACCTCTTCAGTAGGCAGCGGAAAGCGCCGGGTTCCGGCGCATGACGGACCGGTGACACATTTTTGGGCCAAGTTTTTAAGAATCTGTGCTTGCAAAGTCCACTTCCCAGCTATGGGATGGCAGTCGGAGCCACGCCGGAGCCTTGCTTAGCCAAAGACTAGCAAGAGAGTGCTCCAGCGCAGTCCAAGCTCGCTGAAGTTTTGGGGCTTCTTCCCGAGCAGCTTTGTTCTTGAATTCTCAGGCAGGAATCCAAGCACGCAAGGGGCCCGAGAGGAAATTTGTACAGCGCCACTTCCCTGAGATGCATGAGGCCCAGGCTTTTCAAAGGCCTGCAGCCTTTCCAACTAAACGAATTTGTCACTCGCACTCGCACTAGAGGGTGCAAGCCGAGATCTTGTCGAGCAAGGGCTGGCAAGATATTCTTCGACGGACTTTCTGACCATCTATAGAAAGCCTGCAGCGCCTTCACAATCAACCTGGTTTGCCGTCGTCTCTGGAGCAGTTTGCAAGTTGTTTGCCGCCAGGGCGAGGCCGGCCCTCATGCGCATGACACAGGCCAGGGAAGTGGTCGCTTTGCCAGATGTACCATATGTAGCCGAGAGCGGGGCGGGGGGGATGTCAGAATAAAGCAAAGCAGCTAAGCAGCTGGCGTTCATCGGCTTCGTTTCCACCGTTCTCGTCGCCGGACATCATTTCGAGATTCAGACTCAAAGTTGAAGCGAAATCAGACACGAGAGCCCCCAAGGCCAAATGCCTCCATCACCTTTACCCAGTATCCAGTCGGAAGTCGGAGGCGAACTCTTCGTGCCTGGCCTGGCGGTGATGAAGCCGCGCATCTCTGTCACCGATCTCTCCCAGGACCCGCCAAAACAGAATTTGTCAGAGCCTCAAGTTTCTTCGGTGCCTCAGTGCACCGCCAACTTCCCGCAACCCGTAGAAAGCAGAAACCTTAAGCCTGACGCCCATCCCGGATCGCGACCTACTTGTAGAACATGCTCGAACCTTGGTCCGCAATCCCGAAGCCCTCCAGCGCCTCAGTTTCACAGGACGGGCAGTCTGGAAGGAACACCCCCGAGGAGGAGGCCAGTTCTCCAGTCGTTGCACTTGGCTGCAGCTGAGGTGGGTCAGTTGATCCGGGTGGGGGCTTTGCCTCTTTTAGCGTTGGGGCAGGGACTCATGGGCAATTCGCAGGACGCAGAGGCTGCGCAGTTTCGCAAACGGGCCTTGCTAGCCCGTGACCTGGGGCTGGATGTGTCGCTATTGCCGGAGACCTGGCGCTTAGAGTTCGCGTTGTTTTGGGGAGGACCGAGGGGCCCAGAGTTTTTTTCGAGCTTGAACGAGGCTTAGTCGGCAGAACAGCCTGAGCTTGCAAACTCTATAGTTCGACTCGAGAGGCCTTAACTCTAAGTTTCTCAAAGCCTTGCAGCACTCAAGGGTGCTGATTCCTGGACCCGGTGATCTTGAAGCATCTCTTCCTGTTTTCAACAGTCCATATGATGTAAGCCTGAAGCCACGATCGCATGATGCTCATCGCAGACGGCATGCCGTGTGATCTCACGGCATGCTCAGACTGAGCAGATGCGCGCCCAATGCTATATATATATAACAAAATGAATGAACTAGAAATCATGAATATGACTGTAGACATAAAGCAACAAATAAACAAGTAAATGAATGTGTAAATATATATATATATACACACACACACACACAGTCCCAGCAATGCACCAAGACCTGGCTAGAAACCTCGGCAGAACGGATCCGCAGCGACGTCCCAAGGTGCAAGGTCACCACAGTTCCCCGCCGGCATCCCAGCATTGCCAGAAGTTTCGAGATCTTCCGCGTAGTAGCCTCCCCAACTGGCTCACCGTCGTTTACTTGCAGGACATCTGGCCGTGGTCCCTGTGTTGTCGGGATTCCTCCACGTCTTCATGATGAGATCTGCATATCAAAAACTCCACTTCAAATTGACAAAAGTGCACTTTCGCTTGTTTGTCATCTCTACCTTGGACTCTGAATGAGTTGCGATTCTAAATGCATGTCTTCTTGTGCAATGCACAGAAGCTAGGATCATCGTAAGCTCAGGATGTACACTTCGTCCTTCTCCTGTAGAAGCATTTGGCTACAGTAGCTTCAATCTGTCAACCGAACCTAGCTTGCAGTGCGCTTAGACTAAGTCTGCATGCTACTGCAACAGAGCAGGTCCCGAAGGAATTCCGATCAAGCTGGCGCATGCAGACGAGGTCGTGTCAGGGTGTGCTGTCCCGACGTTAACATCCGGAATCCGGATACTTCTGCTACGGTCTCTTTAGGATAATTAATTTTGATGTTTCGTCTAAATTTTTGACGGGCTCGAGCTACAACGGTTCGTCGAATTTTGTACTAGATGCAGCCCAGCAAAAGTGGACCATCGGCAGACCGAAGCGGATGTATTTTGACGGTCTTCCGGCAAGATTTTCATTCTGTGCTTTACTTGTATCTTGGGCAACAGTGGCTGGACCCTTCCCTGCGTGCATACACATGGCTGGTATGCTACGATGCATGCAGAACCGGGTTTGTGTTCAATTTCTGAAAAGCAGATAATAAGTTTTGTGTTTTGTCGCAGGTCTGCAGCCTGTCCTTCAGCAGCTGCAGCACTCGCCTAGTCGCTGGCGGCTATGACCAGCACCTGGTCATGTGGGACGCTGAAAGCCTGACTCCCAGACGACCCGCCGCTGAATTGTCCACTGGTCAGACATCTTCGGTGTTCCATTCGGTGAGTGTTTCGTGCTTGTCGCTGGCCGGTATAATCGTCCGCTCAGAATGGCGCTGAGCGCTGAGGCATGGCTCGGACGGCCGAGCAACATGTGGAAGCCGAAATTGTTTGCGCAGTCCCGGCTCGCTCTTTGGGTCCTTAACTTCGAAAAGGCGAAGAGGGATCCGGAAGCTTTGCTTCAGAACGACCAAGCCTGCCTCAATGCTATTGCCGAAGCCACCGCTACCAGAACAATCTAGCAGCATGATATGCATGGACCTAGATTCAGTTGGGTCTTGTCCAGGCAACGGAAGCTTCACGAAGTTGCCCCGTGCATTTTGAGGGAATGCCTGGGCCCCCTTCCGACATCAGTCGGTGACAAGGACAAGGTCGAAGCCCTAAACCAGGATCTTCTCAGCTTAAGTGCTGAGTCGTTTGCATGGCTCGCAGCCCCTGTGCAAGAATGGAAGCGTTACAGCTGAACAGACCACAGCGCATGAGTCTCGAAGACAGGTTGCCATCTCGCCGTGTGGGAAGTACGTTTATTGCGGGGACAACGACCGCGAAGTGAATGCGGGGTGCCTAGAAGCTTGAGTTTGTTGCCGTTGCTCTGATTCGTTGCGCGCATGCTGTTGTCAGGCCAATTTATGAAGACTACGTAGGCGGATGCTATTGTCAGTAGTGGCGTGAATTGCTATAGCCCTTTATCCGTGCTGGCTGCCGTAACGGTTTTGGGATACTAGAGTCATAGAGCTGAGTTAGCTGCAGCTTTCGAGGTCTTTGACGCCGGGACGCTCGAAGTTTTGGGGAAGCAAGTGCTCAAGGAGAGATGGAGGGCAAAGGGCCGAATCCTGACATATAAACCATGACCTGAACTTGCCCCTTGGGCATGTTGATCATGGTCTCAATCTCTCGCCTCGTCGCGGTCTTCGTGTTTGTGCACGCGACACGGGAATTAGGATGTCGGGGGCCTCTGGGACATGCTTTTGTCCCTGGGCTGCACCAGGAGCAGTTTGTGAGCCTCGTGGTGCGGCCCTTGGCGCTGGCGGGGTCAAGTTGTGAGGGCTTCGTATGTCGGGTTCAGGAGCGTAGATGTCCTCAGCCCCAGGCAGCTTCAATTTGTATCCAAGTCTTCCCTTTTTTGCTACACTTATGAGTTGGCCGAGTATCAAGTTCACTGTTCGTCTTCAGGCTCGCACCAGTCATAATTAGTATGAATACTCCAAATCGTGAAGAGTCGTTCATTCTCAAGCATTGCAAGAGCAGCTTTCAGATCTCAGCCCCAGCCCTCGAAACGATCGGCAGTGAGCCAGAACTCTGGGCCCGCCGCCCTACCACCCTAAGCTTAAACCCGCAAGCAAGGCCAGGAAACCCTAGGTTGAAAGCGCTGAGCGTTCAGAGCCTCAAGCTCTACCCCAAAACCAGGCTTGCCCGGTGGCCCACCGAAGCCTTGCATCCGCCAAGGGCATCAGCTCACCAACCAGCCTCTTGGCTGCCGGGACCCGAGTGGAGCTTCTCTTGCTTCGTCGTAGCACGAAGTTGCTCTCCTGCAACTTTGAGACCGCCCTGAGCAACATAGGGCAGGGGTGGAAGCCCGCCATGGAGAGATTCGTGCGCCGATGGCATGTTTGCCACCAGGTCGCATCGCACATCGTCGTCAAGATCTTCTCGGCAGCAATCTGAGTGAGCGCTCTTTCAGGTTGACATGCTGCGGTGATCTGTGGTTCAATGCCAGCGGAGTAAACCGGAGGAGAGGAGGTCAGGACGCTGAACGACAGCCAGAACCAAGCTCTGCACTGCAAAGGTCCCAGATGTCGAGGAGGTCACAAGTCTCCAGCACGGCGGACAGGTGCGCCCGGCGATTTGGGGGCCGAACCTCAACTTCTCCAAGGAAGCCCGTCCTGAACCTGCAAACCACAACAGCATCGAGATCAAACACGGACTGTTCGCTAAGTGTTGGCCGGGCGCTGACATGCGAAGCCCACCACGGAAAGGCTTTCAATCATATCGGAAGGCCATTCCCAATCATTAGTGGTCCAGCAAGCCACTCCATCATCGGATTTGTAGCCTTGCCCAGGGAGATTGTGTGACACTTTCGACCCACTTGAAGATCCTCCAATCCTGAATCGCGGGCCTTGCAAACCCTAAAAGCCTGCAGCCTAAATCCTAAATTCGCGAACAGCTAAACGAAAGAGGGCATCAGCAAAAAACAACTTCGCTTGAAGGTGCATAGCCTGAGCTACTCGCCCACCCTCGGCATGCTCGCAGCAGCTGGAGGCCGGCATGGCCCAGGGAGGTGGGGTTGGTACAGATGGGAGTTTCCGAAAATTAGGGGCCCCTTATTTGGGGGTCCTTAGAATAAGGATCCTACTATTTAGGGTGCTAGATCAGGGTCCCCTATTCTCGGAAACTCCCATATATGCGAGCCTTTACAAGGTCCCCTCGACCGGTTTGTGTGTACCCTTCCGGGTATTTGTGCGCAGAGAGACAGGAGAGCGAGAGAGAAACATGCAAAGATGTGAATGTGCATGTACGTACGTCGGTACGTATGTCTGCATGTTTGATGTTTGTATTTGCAGCTCAGCGAAATCTGTATAGTACATACATAGATAATTAGGTACAGCGATTGATGTTTAGATTCCTTAAGCGGATTTGTAGACAGAAAGACAGACAGATAGACAGGCAGATAGATGGACCGATGTAGCAAGATGTAGATAAACGGATAGGTATCAGCAAATGCGCATCTGCCTTTTTCTCCCATTGGATCAGGGTATGTGCGCGTTATGGTTTCGAAAGTATGGTAGATGGCGTGTCGGTTTGTTGCCCCATCCTCAAGTCTGCGGTTTGGTGCTATTGGTAGTATTGGAGAGGGAGCAGGATTTTTTCACCTTGGTGAAAGTAACATGGGGCTGGCCTCTGCACAAAAAAGCCGTGTCAATGTGTGAGTCCTTGGGAAAGATGCTGCCCCATGCCAGTGTACCCTCCTATGTTGGCATGTCCAAAGTCGCCACCGTGCTGGCTGGGCTGCCAGATCAGAGCTACTCCTCGGCAGCGGTCTGCCGTAAAGTTCAGTTCCTTCACATTGCAAGCTAGGCCTTCCGCTTTCCCTAACGAATGCATTCCGCAGCGTTGGACATCGCCGAAGAAATTTAACTCATTGTCATCCCTTGCACAGGCATTGATATTACGGAATCGGGCCTCCTCAGCTACAACAGCAGCAGCTTCCGAGAGAAAGATCCAGGAGGGATGAAGGCCGGCTGATCTGTTTTTTTTTTTTTTTGTGGTGGGGGCCTTCTGGTTTTCGGGCTTCAGGCATTGGCGTGGTGTTGAAGCTTTGCTACTGTGACAAGGTGGTCCAAGCACGATTCACTCGACCTTATGTTCTGTAAACCTTTTCTGCGAGCTGCTCGAGGACGGGCACACATACAGGCTCAGAGTTGCATGGGCAGGCCGTCCTCTTGAAACCCCGATGTGCAGCATGCCAGGCGGTGGTCTGGAAAGGATCCAGTGAATTCGCTGCAATTTGGGATGAGGTCGGCACTGTGAGTTACAAGGAGCCCGTTCAGTCGGCAGGTTTCAGCGTTTGCAAGACTGGGTACCGACATGCGAAGGCTTGAAGCTTGATTCGGAATGCCCTTCATCATTCTATGGTTTGTGCCGTGTCTGGGATCGACAGCAGACGTAGAATCGATCTCTTCAATCATGAATGCATAGCAGGGCGATATCGCGGGTAAGTTCGGTAGATTTGGCTGCGGGCTTGAGAGCCCTCCGCTGGATCTCCAAGGCCACGGAGCCCTACAACAGTGCAACCACAGATCCACAGACCTTGGCACTTTGAACTCGACAGCATATCACACGAGAGCTCTTTCGCGCAGGACCCCTGCCATGCCGCCAGCTTTTCACCGTCGGGCAAAGCTCTGGCGTTGGGCGGAGAGGTGCCTGGGTACAGTAGTTCCGCGGAGTCGCTGGATTGGTAGGGTTGAAGGGGCACTCGCCTCCCGCTCCATACAGGTAAGCAACAAACGGCCCCTTTGAAGCTGCATACGTTCGTTTAGGCTCTTGGCCATCCGATTGTAGCGAAGCATAGGGCATAGTTATTCTTGCATGGAGTGAAGTGTAAGTGTCTGCTTTGAAACGGCTCCTCGACAGAATCTGAAGTGTGATCTGGTTGTCTTCTTGCTGCGTGAAGGACCGGATCATCTCACTGCTCTCCGTTGAGAAAAAGTTTCGACAGGCCGGATGGGCAAGACATGCTGTTGGGATTAGGAGAGACGCTCGGTGGCTGTCCAGCGGTTGCATGCTGCTCAACTTCGCCCCACAAGCCTTCAAGGCCTCAGGTAGAAAATCCACATCTTGGGCCCTCATATGGATGGATGGATGCACGCACGTGTACCTATTCGATGTATGTTCCTGCACTTGTATGTATGTGCCTCTGTCTATCCCTATTGCTACACTTAGGTATGTATGTATGCATCTATGTATGTACGTATGCAGACATGCATAATTTTTATGTATTCATGCAGACATGCATGCATGCATATGTCTACGCATATTTGAACATGTGTATGTGATACATGTATTTGCAGATTTCTTGTATGTATGTGTCTATATGCCTACATGCATGTGCATACATAAGTGCGCGTTTATCTTGTTACGCGTGTTTCTCTTCTTTGGTAAGTTATTTTCAACAGTCATTCATTCATTCGTTCATTCACACATTCGTTCCTACATCTGTCTTCAAACATTCATACATACCTATGTATGTGTATCTGTATATATACATGTGTATACATGTGTGTGTGTACATCTAACCAGAATTTGGGTGACCGCCCGTGAGGGCCCCGTCGGCTTTAGCGCTAAGCCATGAACAACTTGGTCCGTATTCAGCATGTAGACACAACACAGTCACATGACGACTGCCGCTATATAGGTTTCTCCTGATGCAACGGAGCATATTCCTGGACATGGTAACTCTAGCTTCATATAATAGACCATTCAGAACAAAATTGTCTTGTACTTCCAAAGTGCTTGTGCCAGTAACATCGTCGCGACCCTTCGCTTCGTTTCTGTAATAATGCCTGTAGAGCTGTTGCGTGAAAGCTTCGGGGGTTCCTGATGGCCAGTCGCCATCGCATATATTAGACCTGTAGGGTTGCCATAGTTGTGTAGCCATACACAGTATAGCGATCTTGCTGACATTCTCCGTTGATCCCCTCGCATTGGCTTTGACATGTAGGCATCCTCAAGGGAAACCTAACCCCTAAACCCGAAGTTCCTTGTAAGGTTGAGCAGCTTCCCTGTGGCGCCGGCATTCGATGTCTCGCCTGGGCGGCAAACTCGCGGCTCCTGGCTTCGGCTGGGGAGGTCCGGGGGGGCCCTGTGGGGCTCTGGAGCGCAGGATAGTCATAGTCTGTATAGCCCAAATCAGAGTGGTGGCAGGGAAGAGTTTGGGGGAGAGAGGAGGTGAATGCAACGAGCAGAAGACGACTCCCGGTTCGCGCCCCGAATGAGAAGCGTTGCAGGGGACAGCTTGTACACGTGTGCACTGAACATTCTTTTCAATTTCAACATGGCGAAAAACCTCGATTCCAGGAACAACTCAAGCGGTGTGTCGCAGCCAACATAAGTTTCATAACCAGTAAGTTAAAGTCAGGCACAAGGAGCCAAGGGGCATACAAGCGTCAGGTCCACACAGGAAGGGCACACAGTTTGCGCGGGAGTGGACTGGGCCTTACGCCTTCCGGAAGAAACAAACGCGAGAGCGAGAGCGCAGCAGTGCGCGGCGAGGAGGCAGGCTCCTGCGGTCATTCGACCTATCGAGTGAGTGGTGAGAGCGAGTGAAGTCCTGAGACCTGGGTTTGAGCACAAAACCAAATCACTGCATATCTTCAGCCCTCGCCCTTTGGCAGGACATGCGTGTGTCAGTTTGGGATGCCTGGACCCTGGGTGCTTTTGAGCCACTCTGATTTGCCTGTCTGTGCCGCGCCTTCCCGCCCTCCTGTGAAGATTGTCAGCTGCGACACCTTCTGCTTCGAACTCCTTAGACTAGATACGCAAGGGCAATCCAGACGTCCGAGGCCGACAACACGGAGCCAGAGTAACTTGACCATTGAACGCTGAGGAAAGAGTCGAAGCCGATTCCAAGGAAGAATGGCAAGAGAAATCTGTCTCACATCGGCAGCAGATGTTTTGACACCGTCCCAACAACAGTCACCGCCGCCGCCGCCACCACCACCACCACCACCACCACCACCACCACCACCACCACCCCCACCACCAGCATTGCCACAAGATTTGTTGCATACTGTTGAAATGCAGACTCGACCTGCTCCGCAAGATGAGCCCCGTCACCTCATGCTACAACCAGCATACCGTGAGCCACAGCGAGGTGCTGTACAAGCGAGTCATTCTCCAGCTGCCTAAGGCAGGGATGTGAGGTTCTCCAATTTCTGTCATAGCCTGCCGAGGCTGAGGCTTAGGCGTCAGTGTCTGCACTTCCTTGCACTGAGCCTAGAGCAACTTGAGGTCGGTGCCGGTACTTAAATTGAATACCCGCAAACACCGACAATTTCCCTTTCACTGCACTCAATGTCCCCCACCTGTTCTCTGAACACCCAGCAGCATGCAGGCAGATGACTGGTGCGAGACCCAGCGTTTTTGGCGGCTCTGCCCCAGACTGTTCTTTAGTCACGCGGCCCATGACTATGCGGGGTTCTTCCTGAGCTTCAGGGGGACCCCAAAATGGATTCCGCTCGTTGCTGTACCCCGCGTCCGGCTGAGGCTGTGCAGCCTAGCGTTTAGTGCCAACTCCAAGTGGTCCGGAGCTGACTGACATCAGGGTTGGAACTTCATGTTGTAGCAGCATCTCGAGTGTCGCCGAATGCTGTGGAATTGCAGGGCCCGTGTAGCTCCGAAATCTGGAAAGCAAATGACGGTAGGTGTACTGTATGATATCACTGGACGCAGATGGTAGCTGCTTGTTTCGAGGCGATTTTGGTAACATGTACTGCCAACGAGAGCCTTCGAGAAGCACCGTGCGAGCGAAACACACCATCATCAGCTTCGGAGGCCTTCATACTGCTCTTTCTCTCTCTCTCTCTCTCTTCGTCCTCCCTGGTCGCGTGCAATCCCCAAACCTTTCGCAGTGCTTTGTCGAGGTTAGCAGCTTGCGGGTATGGCCAGAACACGGTCGACCTTTGGCCACTCGAGGTTCGGGCTGCACATCGTTTCATGTGGAGCCAGCTCCTGACACTGACTGCTGATGACTGCTGGCTATCGAAGCCTGCAGGGTGAAGGAGTGCTCGTATGTGGCCCTGTGAGAATTACGGGTTGCTCAAGAAGCTCCGCTGATGCAGGTCGAACTTATAGACCCGAGCTCGAACGAATGAGCTTGCCCGGTTTGGTCATTTGGCCATTGGGAGATCGCACTCAGCGTGTTCAGATGTACCACTTGGGGCCTGGGGATTGCAGAATTTGGGTTTCTCTTGTAAGCTTCAGCCTGAGGGCTCGACTTGAGTTCTGAGTGCAGCTTCTCTCGCACACAACAGCTGCACCTGCCTAAGGGCCTACCGCCTAGCCTTCAAACTCGAATGACTTTCCTCAGCGTTTCAAATCATCGCTGGCAACTGCAAACAGACCATAGCACAAGATTTCGGAGCACAGCAGCGGTTCTTTTCAAACAGCACACACTCCGTCTCACTTTCCATCACAGCCCCTCTTGTGAAAGTGTCAGACGGTACCGTGTCTGACTTCTGGGTTTGTTTTGCAGATCTTGTTGTGCTGAGCGGGGCTGAAGCGTTTCGGCATTGCCGGCGCACGTGGAATGTGCATCTTGGATGAGCGAACGGCTCCTAAGATGTCAGATGAAATCACAGTAGCCAGCTGCGCAGTGACCTCTTGATGATGCCAACAGCTTCGGCGAATGCTGTATCCATGCCGAGACAGCGCAGCATCATCATCGAGTTTCCTGCGCGCAGCAGCTTTGACCTGCAGCTCACATCCTGTTGGCCATGTCATGCTACTGGTCCCTAGTGTGATAGGCTACGACTAAGAGGGTCACAGTACAGCACCAGGACCTTGAGCAAGGCTTCTGCCAATTCGTCCAACCGACATGATGTATATCTTATGGGGAAACGCGAGAGCAGGTTTGATCGAAGTCGTCGCGTTGCCAACCGCCAAGCCAAAGATGCAGCCTAGGGCCAACACCAGCCGCCCATAAATTCAGAGAGTCTCTATAATGACGCTTGTAGTATCCTTTATTCTACTGGCCGTACGAGTTAGAAGTGCTGCAGCTCTCTCTGAAGGTCGATATCACTAGCATCACCAGCATTTTCCTGATGAGCAGCAGGTCGGTCTCAGGCCGCTGGACTACTACAGGGCCCCAGCACCGTGGCACAAAGAGGCCTGCTGAAAGGCGCCCTGGGCTTCAAGTATTTAAAACGAGCAATCCGGCTTTGCACCCGGCTGTAGGCTGCATGTTATCGCTCTTACGGGGTAGTGGTAATCAGTGTAGGCGAAAGAAGAGACACCCTTAACTCCAAACACTTTAACTCCATTTGTTGCGAGTAAGATGCGCCAGTACCTGTTGCGCGAAAAGCCTGCCCGTCCTCCGCAGTCTTGCCGTTTTAAGTCGTGGAGCTGTTGCTCGCAGACCTAGGAGACTGGACTGCAGGCTTGCATGACTGAGCAGGGTGTGCCTTAGAAGAATCGAGTGGCGATCCGAAATCTCTGGCTTCAGCTCACTGGGTCATGAAGGTTACAGAGGCTCCCATTGTCGGCTGGCACGCACGGTATCGCACAGACTTGAAGGACCTGTATCTAGTTGGCTAGGCAATGGATGGGGTGGGTCTGCGGGGCCTCGCCCATGCATTAATATGCGCGGCACATGGTGGTTCAGATTGTTTGGTTGAAGTTTTCTTCGGGATAAATCTACACGTGCCCATTCGCCGTTCGCTTGCCTTGCGATGTCCATGAAGCCGGAAGTCAAAAGGCAGGGCCAACGGGATCAGGGTTCCAGGGTAGCCTCGCAGTTTCTGATGTGGTATAATTCATGATATGATGGTTCTTATGGCTGCCGTGGGCCATCCTGCCACGGCATATCCGTAGTCCTGTGTTCGCATTGACAAAGCTCAGTCGTGCTACAAAACCGGGATTCAGGGTTTAGGTTTTGGGGTGTCATGCTGCGCCTAGCACCGGTGAGAGCCTGGTGACCAGCGACACGAGTCCAAAGTGCAGAGGTCTGCCGCCGAGCCGAAGTCTGGCCAGGGGCCTCCGCTCTACAGGCCGCCTCTTAAATACAAATATCATATAATGGGCCTTAATAATTAGAACAGGGCTTGGGGACCCATTACACTATAGTTATAATAAGGAAACCCCAAGATACTGTTGGTAAGGTCAGAGTTCTGAAATCTCGGAAGCTCAGCTCACGAAGTTGCTTTCATGCCGATCAGGGATGCGAGCTGCTCTTGACCTGCTGTGACCTCGCTGCCCGTTTTGCCCCTTTGCTGGGGCCTAGGCTTCGGGCAGCTATGCAGACTATGGCCTTGCAATCGGCCAAATGGGCCAAATGTGCTGATGACTACACCAACTTCCTCCCTTCCTGACACACCGCTTCTCAGGTGTCCATGAACTTCGTTACTTCCCGACAAACCCGTAACCAGCCGCAGGCCGCAGCATTACTACGAGTCTCCGGCTGGCATCCACAAGGTTGCGGGAGACCCGGACAGCTCCGACCCTGAATGCAAAGACACCTCAATGCCCAAGTCAAGTTGCTGTGAGCCAACGTTGCTTCCCAGTTTCATGCCCATCGAAAAATCCCCGAAGCTTCGATCCTGCAGTGATCCTGTAGTCTGCCTCTCCGTTCACCACGGCAGCACAAGGACTCGATCCTGCGGCACTTGCAGCAAACGGAGAGCCATGACTGGGTGGGAGAGATCACACACTGGGGCACGCAGGCCCGGGAAGGGACTGGGAAACATGCCCGGAGCTCCTGCATTCACACGGCAGTCCAAGGTTCGAAGGCAGAAGTTTTCTGAATTCGGTGTCGGCGTGATTTGTGCATGTTCAGGCTTGATAGTGGACTCTGGCTTTAAGACTTTTGGGCTTCGAGGGTGCTCGTTTGCTCAAGGCTTCCCGTGAACAGGACCATGGAGCCTTCGCTCTCTGATGCAGCGTTTTGGGCTCAGGTTGGGGTTTCAGGGCCGAGCGTCTTGCACCTAACAGCAGGTCTTGTACCTCTTGCTGCAGAACTACAACATCACGCGCCTCAGCATCCAGAGCAGCTCGACTGCAGCGAATACATCCAATCTGTCCAGCCTCTGGGCGCTCCAAAACACGAATGATACAAGCCTGCCTGCTACTCGTTTTTGGGTAGGCTTCCTTGTGGACGCAAGTCGGCCTTAGAGAGTCAGAGAGCGCCTCATGCGGTTAGAAGTTACCTAGAGCCTAGAGGCTCCATAGTAGTTCCTGTTTGGGGTTCATACTTAGAATCCTATAAGGTAGTTTTCTATACAAGCTCTATCTGCAAGTCTGCCACAGGGGTTTATCGAAGATGCCTCTGCCAGCCCGGCAACCCCCCCAAGTGGCCTTTTAACCATCATGAAGCTAAGCCTCCTTTCGAGCTCAAACTTCAGAATCTGGACGATGATAGGTTCTGGGTTGTCCGATCTTGCTTGAGGCGCTGGATCAGTTGGCATTCAGGTAATGCGCCGGTCGCTAGCCCCCCTGGACACTCTGCTATGACCTTGTCTATCTCTCTATATTATTATGAGGTGAGTGAAGGCGGTCCCACTATAGCAACGGGCGTCCTTACCGGACTTAAGCGGAGGCGCGAACAGGTTGGGTTATCGCTGCCCATGGCGGATGATATCATCGCATACTGATCATTAGTCCAGTCTGTATTTCAGCCCAAGCGCCTGTGACGTCACATTCTTCTCGCGTAGCGTCTGCTCCCAGGCAGCAATTTCCATTTGATATTTCTTACCACATTCTTCTTCGCTCAACGCATCTGGCGGGGGCCTCAGTGAAGTTTGGTGCAATTGACATGGAGCACGACAATAAAACCCGGAAAACGCGAAAGTCGACTGGTGAGCTGCATGCTACCAGTCACACTTAAATTATTTACCCTGAGCAAGTTCAGGACAGCCGAATTCAAAGGCTGCGATAGATGCGGTAAGGATTGCAGATTGATTCGTGGCCTGAGCCCTTTCTATTTGCTACCTCGATCTCTTAATCTGAGTTGGCCAAGGTTTTTCCTCTGGCGGATGACGCAGTTCTCGGATGCTCATGGGGTTCGCTTTGCGCGCTGACCTGAGGGCTTTCTATGCAATGTGCCCTGCAGCTAGAGAAGTCAAAGCGTGAGCCAAGTCGTTGTCCCACCAAGAAGTCTTGAAGCTTTGCGTGCTTGCTAAAATTGACAAAGGAGAGTAGGCAGCCTTGTTGAGAGGACGCTTGTCTTTCAGCTTGATTGATGGGACTCCTGGGGCAGTGGTCAGCAAGGAGTAGAGGTGCATTTCGTCGATCTTTGTGAGGATGCGTGCGTGAGGGTTTGTACCAGTGTGAGAATCACTGTGCAGTTTCTGCCGAGGTGTCATCTCACCCTTTTCTTCGTCACTGTGGATTCCCTGTACTGCGGTCTTACGCTCGCCATGCAGGAGTTCAGCCGCTTAAAGCGTTTATAGTGTATGAGAGCCAACTACCCAATGCCAGGAGCATCGTTGGGAAGCATGACATTTTCCGATAACCCGACCGGGAGATCTCGCCTCTACCTCAAGCGATAACTAGTTAGACTCCTTGTCACCGCAAGCGCAGGACTCGCTTGCAGGGATCTACTTGGCGTGCATCCCTCAGACTGTGATGGCTGGATCCCCTCTCCAAACAAGCGCGGCTCGCATACTGATCAGATGCTGTATAGACAGCAAAGCACTGGAGTCCGGCAAGCATTCGAGTTCTGAACCAAGCCATCTTGGCAGATCCTCTCGACCCAAAGCTGAAAAATCTGGGTGAGTTCTGCTGACCCATGCGTCTACTGCTGAGTCTGTCAGTGGTCAGTGTTGGTCCAAGATCACACAGATCACTCATCCGGTTCTGCAGAGACGAGCTTAGCTCCTTTGCAGAGACCACCTACAAGACGACTGCAAATGGCGTTTAAACCTCCGATTGAGCAGCTGCGCGCAATGGATGTTGAAATCCGGCAGTCCTATCCACCGCATACAGATTGATAAGCTGCATCATATTCTGCTTGAGGTTACCCTTGCTGCTGAGTGTGCTCTTTTATCACGGCTACCTGTCGTGGCCTGAGCTACCGCACCAGGAAGTTAAAAGCTTTTGAGACCGTTTGAGGTTGCGTTTGGCCGTCCTCGCTCTTCGTTTCTTGCAGTTGCAGTTGCGA